ACCCTTTGTCCTTTGTTTCTTCCTCCAATGTATGCATCTATTGAAGGAGCAGTAGGAATACACCTTATCTTGATATTGAAGGAACAAAGGACTAGAGGATGATTGAAGGAGTAGTTTTGGTGAAGGCAGATGATTTCTTTGTGTGTATCAATAGATGATGTTGAAGACATATGATGGACAGAAATGAGAGAAATAGAAGATGTGTAGGGTCTTTCAATTATAGAGAGTGAGGAAGCTAAAATATAAATTATTCTATTTTTTAGCTTTCCAATCAGAGCATACATTTGAGATTTTATCCTCCAAATTATTTATAAAATAGCATATATTGGAGGTATATAATACTACGCCTAAAGTTTGTAGTAGTGTTTTTTTTGTATAGATACTTCAAAAAAAAACTCTGTATTCCATATTTTTACATAGTAGATATTTTTTCCGTGTTGGTACTTATTGCTTTATTGTTAATAAGTAATTCTTAACTTATAAGCTGCTTTTAAGTCTAATATTCTTTCTAGAGGTGAGCAAGTATCGAACCGATACTAAAATTTCTCAAAAAAACCGAGAATATTGAACTGAAAAATATCGAGCCGAAAAAATATTGAGAAAGAATCGAACCGTACCGAACTGAATGGTCGGTACAGTATTTGGGAATGGTACGAGGGGACTTCCCATACCGAAAATCCCGAACCGAACATATATACTAAAATATTATAAAAAATAATATCCCGGAGTAATATTTTTATATACCTTCACTAAATATTAGTTCAAGTTCTATTATGTGTAAAGTATATAATTATTTGAGTTTTAACTTTTGTGTATGAACATGAAAGTATTTACAAAGATTTGAAATATTTCTTAATTGTTATTCATTTTTTAGTTTGTGAAATATAAACTACGTTTTGATACGCATTTCTTGCATTTAAATATTCATTTTTTTTTAAATTTTTCATGTTTTTTTTATTTAAATTCACTTTTTAATTTTCAAAAGTAATGTGTCATTGTTAGATTTTAACGTGCAAAGTAGTTATGTATATTCATCCCGATTTATACCGAAATCGATACCGAACCATCCCGAACCATATTGAACCAATATTTCGGGATCGGGATCGGGATCGGGATCGGTACGAGGTAAAATCTCATACTGAACCGAAATATTTGGTACAGTATCGGTACGAGCTAAATACTATACCAATACCGTACCATGTTCACCCCTAATTCTTTCGTTGAAGTAAAAATGACTTAAATGATAGATATATTATTTGAAAATATTCACAAATGATAAATGATAGTTTTGCGAATAAATTTCTAAAAATGGAGAAACAAAAAAATTGTTTTAAAAATAAGTAGCAAAGATCATATTTTCCTAGCTTAATTTGCTCATTACTAGCTCTATTTTAATATATATATATATATGAATTAGTAAGAAGAGAAAATAACAAAATACTCACTCAATTATTTTTAATTTCATCTTGAATTTATAAGTAAATATTATCCTGTGCATCGCACGGGTGATGCACTAGTGAGGGTAAAATATGTTTGTAGCCCGTATAAAATTAACAAATTCTGTTCTTCGTTCCTCTACTTTTTCTTAAATAATTAATTCATGTAACCTTTTTTATAGCACTACAGTGTGTATAGCACCATATACGAATTATGGTAAAACAACACTGACTTTTCAAATATTTCAAATTTAAAGGACAATACTACAAAATAATCAAAAGGCATCAAATATTAAATGTTATTGATAGATCAATCCCTTTTCAAAACATATCAGTAGCAGCAGGGCCGGCCCTGAAAAATGAAAAAATAAAATTGGTCCGGTCCAAAATTTACATTTTTGTGCCATATTTTATATTTTTAGAATACTTTTGCTTTAAAATTATTAACAAATTTAAAAATATGGTGCCCTAAATTTTAAGGAGGCTTGTACGGTTGGCCACTTTGCACACCCTCCGGGCCACCCATGAGTAGTAGAAAACCAAACAAGATTTACCACGGAACTCGGATCAAGCCAAAAATAAAACCATGAAAGATTTTTGTGAAAAATCATGCACATCAACATTTTATCATCTCATTATCCT